TTCCTGGTTTAATATTCTTTGGGCATTTTAACATTTTTCCTACTTGGAAATTCAGGAAAAGAGTATGTGCCCTGGGTACTCCCTGAAGGTTAATGTAAGCAAATGGTAGTGAACATACTCTGTAAATTGGGAAACACTGTGCTCAAGTGAGGTGGGTTTGTGTCAAGGTCAGAGCTTTGGAAAGTCTATCAGAAGCTGGCCAGACCCAGCACCTGGGGACCTGAATTCCACGTTTGCTTGCTCTTGTGAAGCCCCATTTATCAAACCTTGTGTCCCCAACCCTCTGGCCCCAACTTTGGAAATGAGAGCTGGGTAAACAACACAGCTTTAGAAATAAAAAGTAATTGCTCCTCCTGGATGCTTTATTGGGGGCTTTCATTAGTTTCTATGCATGAGCGGCAGTGACACCCAGACCCTTTCCCAGCATACAAAAGGCACAGGAAAGTGAGATCTGACCAAGAGGGCAGCATGGCTGCAGAGACTCCCTGTGCATCCAGCATGAGGGAGCCTCTGGAATAATGGGAAAGGTGGGCATTAAAGGGGGTGGAGATTGACCCACCCCTGCACTTGAGCTGGGACTAACCTTCTAAGAGAAGGTCAACATGGCTTTTGCTGAAAATCCCACCTCACAGGGTGGAAAAACTCAACTCAATGTAGGAAGTAGATGGTGGATATAGCCTTCAGGGGTTTCTGTTGAAGAGTCAAACCGAACACATCAGCCACATCAGGAGGGGGGTGAAAGCGTGTGCTCAGGTTGTTAGTCCCAGCCATGGCCAGGTTTTGGGGTATCACTGCCTTGGCTTGAGCCAGTGCTGTCTCAGTTTATGTCCAGGAGAAGAACGAAGCCCCTTCTGATCTTCAGGAGCCTCTGGCTCTTCAGCCCCAGCCAGAGGTACCGGTTAGAAGAGTCGAGTCTTGGTGTTGGCTTTGTCCTGTGGAAGAGTTCCCTGGCAAGAGGGAAGGGGAGGCGAGGGGTCAGGCCCTCTGAGCCCCAGCACCTCCCAGAACCTGGGCCCTGGTGGTGGAATGTCCTGGGACTCACCTCAGATCCTAACCAGTCCTCACAGTTCCATCTTGAGACCTTGAATGCAAAGAGAAGGCATTCGTGTTTTGTTTCTGTTTCTCTCACTGTCTCACTCTCTGTCCTCTAGTAGAGCCGTAGCCTCAAGTCATAGCCTTGGCAACGTCTACTTCTAAACTATGGAATGTTTTCACACTGACGACAGAATTACTCAGAACAAGGGGGGAAGTGCCATCCACTGTTCGTGGGACAGTGAGTTTCTGAGAGGTCAATGGGAATCACACAGCACAGAGACACCGACAGTCAACAGCAGGCCCTGGGCCTGGCTCTAGATGTATTTTTTCTTGAGGTACCAGTAGGCAAAATAGCCCATCCCGCCCAGGGAGCCCATGAGGAAAGATGCCCCAAAGAATGATGGGGGTTTCCGTTTGACCAGCCGGAATGCGTTGGGGATGACAGCTGACAGCAGGGTGGTGTGGATGTCCCCGAGGACTTTCCGGAAGGCAAAGCGTCTCTGCACCCTCTCAAAGAAGGACTGCAGGTTGGGCCGGCTGCCATCTTCCCAGTATTTCTTGGACAGTCCCAGGAACTTGAGGCGGTGTAGGGTGGCTCCCAGGAGGACGTCTGCCAGGGTGAAGGCACATCCACAGAGCCACAGCTCACATTTCTTCCCTGAAAGGGAAAAGGAGAGAGAGAGAGAGAGAGAGAGAGGAGATGCCACACACTCATTTTTCTCTCATCAGCCCAGGACTTTGGTCTGCCTTCTGTTGTCCCCGAGGGTCATTCATCCCTGTCCCACTTTAACCCTGTACCATTCATCCCTCTACCACTTTTGCCCTAGCCTTGTATGTACTATCTCTATTCTTATTTTCTATAAACCAGATGCTTTTTTTCCCCTCCTCAGTGGTGGGGATAGGATCCGGGGCCTCTGCTATGCTAGGCAAGTGCTCTACCTCTAAGCCACACATCCCCAGCCCTCTAACGTTTAAAGTGCGGATATGTCTTTACTCCAGACCCACGTAACCAGCTGCCTCTTTGACAGTCTACTTGGGCATCCACTCTGAGTTTTAGATCTAACATCTAAAACAGAATTCGAGATTTCACCCCTAAGCCCACCCACACGTGGCCCTGTCTCAGTAGTGCCACCCCTGCCCTTTCCATTGCTCAGGCCAAAAGCCTCAGTGCCACCATAAATTCTCTTTCTTTCATTCATCACAACCCGCCAGCAGTTCTTATCAGCTTTATCTTCAAGATACATCCAAAATTTGATGTCACTTCCATTTTTACCATTCCAGTCAAAGTAACCATTATTTCCTACTACTTCCCACAAAAATCTGAGGCCAAGACTTGTTCTGTTCTGCTTTTAAGAAAGGAGCCAAAATGAAATGGAAGCAGTAACTTAAAAACCCTTCCAACTAAGAAAAGCCCAGGACCTGATAGATTCACCACTGAATTCTACAAGAACTTCAAGGAAGATCTAATGCCAATACTCAAAGTTTTTAACAAAATTAAAAGTGAAAGACTACATCCAGGTTATTCCTGGAAGCTAGCATTACTATGATCCCAAAAGAAAACTCCAGACCAATCTCTTTAATGAACATAAACACAAAAATCCTAAAGAATATGCTGGCAAATAATGAAAGAAATCATCAAAAAGATCATACATAATGACCAAGTAGTCTTCATCTCAGGGATGCAAGGATGGTTCAACATTTGAAAATCAACAAATGTAATATATCACATAAACAGAAGTAAGAATAAAAATCACACAATCATATCAGTAGTAGCAGAAAAAGCCTTTGACAAAATCCAACATCCATTCACAATAAAACCTCTAAAGAATATCAGTATAGAAGGATCTTCTCTCCATCTGATAGAAGCCATTTATGATAAACCTACTGCCAGCATCATATTAAATGGGGAAAAATTGAAAGCTTTTCCTCTAAAGTCAGGAACAAGGCAAGGATGTCCACTGTCAGCACTCCTGTTCAATTTTAGCACTCAAAAGGTTAGCTGCTGCAATCAGACAAGAGGAAGAAATAAAAGGAATTCCTATAAGAATGGAAGAATTCAAACTATCATTTGCAGACAACATGATCCTTTACATGGAAGACCTAAAAATTTCACCAAAAGACTCTTAGAAGTAATAAATTCATCAGAGTAGCAGGATACAAAATCAACACACAAAAATAAGAGTTCTTAAGGGTGAAGGGGGTGAAGGGAGGGCAGGGATATGTGGAAAAAATAAGAACCAAGACATACCATGTAAAGGTACAAGATCCCAATGATAAATGTAACTGTATTGTTTGCTTTAAATGTACCAATAACCTTAATGGGGGAAAAATAAGAGTTCTTGTACACCAATAATGAACTCACTGAGAGAGAAATTAGGAAAAGAATACCACTCATAATAGCATCAAGAAAAATTAAATACTTGACATTAATTTAACTAAGGAAGTGAAAGATCTCTATAATGAAACTTACAGTACACTAAAAGATCAAAGAGGACATCAAAAAATGGAAAGATATCTCCTATTACTGGATAGGTAGAACCGATATTATCAAAATGGCCATCCTGCCAAAATTGATATATAGATATATTGCAATCTCAATTAAAATACCAAAAGCATTCCTCACAGAACTAGAAAAAATAATCCTAAAATTCATATGAAACCAGAAGAGACCTAGAATAGCAAAAGCAATCATGAGCAATAAGAACAAAGCAGGAGGCATTACAATCCCAATTTCAAATTATATCACAGAGCTGCATGATAAAAATAGTGTGGTACTGGGCCAGGGATTTAGCTCAGTAGTGCTGCCGCCTGCCTCACAAGCGCAAGATCCCAAATTCGATCCCCAGTACCAAAAACAAACAACAACAACAACAACAAAATAATAGTGTGGTACTGACACAAAAACAGACATGAGGATAAGTGGAACAGAATAGAAGATACAGACACAATCCCAAGCCATCTTCCATCTGATCTTTGACAAAGGGGCCAACAACATACACTAAAGGAAAGATAGCCTCCTTAAACAAATGATGCTGGAAAAATTGGTTACACCTATGCAGAAGATTGAATCTTGCCCTATATCTGTCACCATGCCCCCAAATAAAATAAAAATGGATCAAAGGTCTAGATATGAAAACAAAAACACTCTTTTGGAAAATAAAGTAAATAAAATTCTTGCAGACATAGGCACATTCTAAACAACCTCAATTGCACAAGAAATAACATCAAGAAACAAATGGGACTATATAGAATTAAAAAGCCCCTGCACGGCAGAAGAAACAACCAACCAAGAAACTGTAATATGGCTATTCCCCTTCTAGTCATCTTCTCCAGAGAGTTAAAGACATTATATTACAGTGATACATGAATACACATGCTTATAGCAGCATAACTCATAATAGCTAAATCTCGGAAGCAGCATATATGTCCATCAGTGGATGAATGGATAAAGAAAATGTGGTGTTTATATACAATAGAGTATTACTCTGCCATAAAAACTATACATTTGAGTAATTTGTAGGAAAATGGATGCACCTTGAGATCATAATGTTAAATGAAATAAATCAGATACACAAGCTTAAATGTCACATAACTTGTCTTACATAAGAAACTCAAAGTATAACTTTTTTGTTTTTTTGAGACGGGATCACATTAGGTAGTTCAGGCTGTCTTTGAACTCACTATGTAGCCCAGGCTGGCCTTGAACTTGCTGCTATCCTCTTGATACATCCTCCCAAGTGCTAGGATTACAGGCGTGTGCCAACATGCCTGCTCCAAAGTATAAATAATTTAAAGTCCAAAAGAAAAGATAGACAATAGGAAACATGGAGATCAATCTTTTATAAATGGCAAGGGCACCTCGAGGCAGAAGGAGGAGGAAAGGGAGGGAAGGGGGAATAAAAGAATTAAGATATGTTAAGGACATATCCTACTCCTCCCCACAATGAATGTGATCACTGTACAAGGAGAGGTGTTAATAAAAGATAAAAATTCAATCAAAGGAGCGATATTAACATACAGTATAAAGGGGTTAAGGAGTGTAATGTCTGCAGAGCTGAGTTAATAAGGTATTCCAGCGAGGAGGGAACCTGGTCATGTTCAGATGCCATGTGTAGGCAAATATGAGCAGGCCTGAGACACTGGCAGCTGCATTTAGTGACTGGTGACCTTGACAAGAGCAGTTGGAATAGAATCCTGATGATTTACGCCCCCTTGGAAGGAATTCAAGAGAGAAAGGGAAGAGAAAAGTTGGAAATGGTGAGCAAAAATAACTTTCAAGGAGTTTTGCTGCGATGGGAAGGATAGGCCAACAGCATGAGCTAGGGCAAGAGCGTGTCTGTAAGTTGGGTGGAATGAAAAAGCGTGTTGATGGGAATGATCCATCAGAGAGGAGGAAACAATGCTATAGGAAAGAGTGGCAAGAATCCCGGATGTGTCCTTGTGTGGATGAGCATGGATGGAGCCCAGTGCACTAGAAAAGGGACTGGTCTTAGCTAGTTCAAGGGCAGTTCATTCTTGTTAACAAGGGAGTACATACTACCATGTGTCATTCAATTTAAGTCACCACTAGATGTAAGACACCCACCCAAAAACAAAAGACATAAACTATTGGTTGTAAGAAGCATTCCCATTTCAGCAATATCAAGATGTGATTTAACAAATATGCATTTTAAGCTTCTAAGTCACTGTGTGTGTGTGTGTGTGTGTGTGTGTGTGTGTGTGTGTGTGTGAATTCTGGTGGTGGGCAGTTGTGGTTGGTGGGTAGTTATGAAGACCTCTTCCTAATGCTTTGACTTTCTCAGTGACATAGAAAGAAAAGGATCAGTTGTGAGAGGATTGGAGGACGTGGTAGAGGGTGAAGGGCAAAGGAGTTGCCTGGAAAGGGAGTGGGGGAGGCTGAGTCAGCAGTAAGGTCACCGCAGGCCAGTGTCACAAGTTCAAGTGAGTTCCGCCAGCATCCAAAGGAGTCCCCCAGCCGTACTCAGGGCCATCTTATGGTCAGAAGTACAGGTGCCAAATGGACGTTGTGTTGGGTTTAACCAGGTCTGAGGTTTGGCAATGTAAGCGTGATGAAGCAGGAAAAGGGCAGGGGACATGGTGCAGGCACGAGTTGCTCCTGGTGATATCAGAGGACTCCTCGAGGTACTGGGGAGGTGAGCCTGGTGGGGGTGGGGACAGTGGGAAGAGGCAGGACTGAGGCGTGCACTTCCCCAGCTGCGGACCGCATGGAGTCAGCAAGGGAGCCTCAACAGGCTTGAGGAAAGGGTCGTGATTGTGCAAGCCCGGGGGCCTCCACAGATTAGAGATTGGGCAGCAAGGAAAAACCAGACAGGCAGGAGAGAAGGGGCAGCCAGAGAGCAGGAGACATCCCAGAGTATGATATTGTTCCCTTAATCCCCAATGATACAAGTAGATGTGGTTATTAGCTCCATTCTACAAATGAGGAAACTGAGGCACAGATAGGTTAAGTAACTTGGCCAAAGCCATGCAAATGGTACGTGGCAGAGCTGAGCCTGGAGTGAGATCCAAGCTCTCTGGTTCCAGAGGCTATGCTCCTAAACTAATCCCTTCTGCTGCTCTTTTTCTAATGCGGATGGGCATGGACATAGCACATGTCTCCATGGATACTTGTGTCCTTTCAGTGGGCGCATGCTTTACTCAGGTCTCAGTGTGAACCTGTCCAGGTGTCTGTCCTGCACAGCCGTATGTTTATCTTGGCTGTCCTGCACAGGTCGGTGCACCAACTCTTCATATGCCTATGGGTGTCTGCACACGTGGGCATGGGGTCCACCTAGTATGGCTTACCACCTGTGTAAGTGCAACACATGCCTGTGTATATCTGGCTGTTCTCCAGCAGACACGGAGTATGTATGTGTGTATGTCTCTAAGCAAATAGGACAGGTACTACCCTGTGTGACCCCATATGTGTGCTAGCCTGGAGCAGTCTACTGTAGCTCCAGAAGACTGACCTCTTTGACGTACCCCTCCTCTCCTCCAGTTGGGCACCCCTTTTGCAAAGGCCCGGGCCTGGATGAAGCATACTTGGCACTTCTCTGAGGCTGCCAGCTGTGTCTGCAGCAGACTCTCACCACAGAGCTGTCCAGTTACAATGTAAGTTCAGGATGGCAAAGCCTGCAAGGGTACTCAGCACTGCAGGATCCTGTTACATTGCTTGAGTAGGCCCACTTCCTCGCTCCTTGCAGAGATACTAGGATATCTTTTCATGTGTTCTCCTTATTCCTGTCAAACCCTGACCCCAGATCCCTCTCAGCTGATGACATCACTTCATGCTTCATTAAGAAAATAGTAACCATTAGACAAGAAACCCTGTCTGCACCACAAAACCTGAAAACCTCCAGGCACATGCCTCTGCCTTGGTCACCCCACTGATGCCAGCCCACCCCAAGGCCAATCTCTTTGCCATCCTCTGTGCCTCTTCAAAGTCTTGTGTCTCTGTGTGCCTTTCTAGATCCCCCCTTCTCCATGCCCTCTACCCCAGAAGGCTGACCCGATGGACCCCTTCGATCTGGCCTTTGCTAGGTCACTTGCTGTAGTCCATGCGACTTTAGTAACAGCAACTGCAGCAGAGGTTGGAAGAGCATTTGGATGCCTGGTCTTTGTGCTCCAGCACTGTGCACAGACCCTAGGCCCACCACTGTCTGAAGGAGCCTGGCTTAGCTGCTGGATGAGGTATAATAGGTGGCCCAGTTACCTCATGGGCCAGGCTATACCAGCCAACCATAGATAGGCCAGCAAGGCCACTTTGTGCTCCTGCTCACAGCTGTAGGAGTGGAGCCAGTCACGTCAATGGGGACAGACAAGGCTCCGAGGCAAGCCCAGCCCACCCTGCCAGCCACAAATCATGAACCAAAAAATGGTTCTTAAGTCCCGTAGACTTGGAATGTTTTGTTGTGCCGCAAAGCTAACAGACAGTCCTCTTCCCCAAACTCTCCAAGGATTTCTTATAGCTCCCAGTATAAACTCAACCCTTGCAATGCAGTCTCAGCCCATGATCTCATCTGGGCCTCCCCAGCAGTCTCTACCCTCGCTCATGCCCCTCTCTTCACCACGCACTGCCCAGTAGCTCGAGAGACCCTCATTCTCTCCAACCACCGTGCGTCTTCTCAGTCTGGCTGGTAGCTCCCTCCCTAGGCTCCTTCTCATCCTTCAAGTCTCACTTTGAATGTCACTCTGTCAGACCTCGTCAAGCTTTGTGCAATTTGTCCTGCCTATATTACCCTTTTTTCTTTCTTTCTTCTTTTTGGTGGTGTTGGAGATTGGGTACAGAACCTTTCGCATGCTAGGCAAGGGCTCCACCTGTAAGCTACACTGCTGACCTTTGCCTATTTTACTCTTCATCTTAACATTTATCATTGTTTATAATTCTGTGTTTACAAATGCGATTATTTGACTAATGTCCTTTTCTTTCCCAAGATCACAAATTACACAGGAAGAACAATATCTTGTTTTCACTCACAATTTTACTCCCAGGAGGATTTGGCACATAGTAGGTGTTCAATAAATATTCAAATAAATGAATGAAAAATAGTAGAGGTAAAAAAAAACCCACCCCAAAACCTGCTATTTTCAGAGCATCCAGGCATTCTGCAAAGTGCCCAGTGCTCACTGTCTTCATGGGTCCTCACAACCTTGCTATGAGTTAGAGTCTATTATTATTTATATTTTGCAGATGACCTCAGAGGGGTGAAGTGAATTCTACAAGGTCAGAGAGCTAGGAAGAGGTTGATTGGAATATGCATGAATGTCAGTGGCTCCATGCCTGGAGCCTTAACTGTGAAATCACAATACCTCCTCAGCTTTTCCAGCCCACAAAGGGAGAAGTGCAGGGCCTGGTGTCCTCCCAGGCAGGTTTGGTGGTACCCAGTGGATAAGTGAGGGACAGAGGACATATGGGCCATTCAAAACTTTAAGGCTCACAGCCACTTCCCTGGGCTCTGTCACCCTCTCAGTCTCCGAGGACACAAGGACCAACCATACCTCTCCATCCTGACAGCCTCAGTCATCACACCATGGGGCACTGCAACGCTGCCTCTTCTCAGAAGACTTCAGGACCAAAACAGGGTGGGACATCAGGGCCCAGTCCGGGAACTCCTTAGGAATGTTATGTCCCAAGCTCTCCTCCAGGACATCAACTGTGGCCCTATCCACTCAGACCCTGAGTCATCCAGGATCACAGCAGCAACTAGTATTTGCAGATACTACCTACCTGTGTGCCAGGCAATGTGTGACACCTCCTCAAGAAATGCAATAGGACCTAGCATTTCCTCACTGCTCTTCACAGCAGCCCCAGAAAGCAGACACTCATTTTATCAGCCCTTTCAGGACAGAAGAGGCAGAGAGACCATCTAAGAACTTGGACTCTAAGCTAAAGTCTGAATCCCGGCTTCACCATTTCTACCTATGTGACCTTGGGAAAGCTACTGGACCTCTCTGTATCTTGGTTCCCTCATCTGTTAAATGGGACCACTAATACTATTTATCTCCTAGAACAGTAGGGAGTTGAAATGTATAAAGCTTAGAATAGCACCTGACGCAGTGTTGTTAAATATATAAATTGTGTCAGGCACAATGGTGCACACCTATAATCCTGCCTGCTTGGGAGGTTGAGATGAGATGAAAGGATTGTGAGTTCAAGACCAGTCTGGGAAATTTATCAACTCTATCTCAAAAACAAATAAACCAATAAAATTACTAAACATGTTTATATAGTTATATATAGAGCTAAATTTTGTCTCTTTCCAAATTCATATATTGATGTCCTAACTCTCAGTATCACAGAAGGTGACAGTATTTGGAGATGGGGCCTTTAACGAAGTAATTAAGTCAAAATGAAGATGTTAGTGTGGGTCCTGACTCACATCTGACTGATGTATTCCTAAAAACAAACGGGACACTCTGCGACCCCCAGGATGTGCAGCACAGAGGAAGAGCATGTGAGGACACAGCGACAAGGTCCCATCTGCAAGTCAAGGAGAGGCCCCTGATGAAACCAGCCCTGCTGACACCTTGAACTTGGACTTCCGGCCCCCGGAACTGTGAAGCAATAGGGTTCTGCTGTTTAAGCCACGCTGTCCCTGGGATTTTGTTTTTTCAGCCCTAACAAACTAATGAATAAGGAAATAACATAAGTCTGTTCAAGGTGAACCAATGAGAGAAGGATGGAGCTGAGATTCTGTTTGGCCTCAAAGGCCGGCCTTGGACCCTCCAGTTTTATTCCCTGAGAGCTCTTAATGGCACCCTTGAGCACACTCGGATAGAAATCAGAAGGTTCTTCCTTGAGATAGCTACACCATGTTTTTCCCAGAAAGGATTAAGGCCTCTGAAATAGCTAGAATTACAGGCATATGTCTGACCTGTTTTCAGACACTGCTCCGCAACTCCCATGCATGCTGCATGTGCTACAAACATTTGCCATGTCAAGGAGATGAAATGGGGCTCTGAAAACAGAGTATGCTGGAGATGTTCAGTGAGACTGGAAGAAGGGCTGATGCAAAGATGGGCACCACAGGCAGATGGAGCAGAATGGAGTGAAACGGACTCCAGGTGGAGGGGCTGTAGGAGCAAAGGTGTGGGGTGGGAAGGGAGCTGGTGTGTCTGATCAGGGACTTGCTCCAGAGCAGGAAGGCCAGTACTGGAGAGTCTGGGTGAAATCAGATGTGTAGCTGCTGCACAAAGGAAGCATATGCATCACTGCCCAGGGCGGGGTGAGATGGTACAGTGAGTAGTGGTCACTGCCACCCCTGCTATCCTCGCCCACAGCCTTTATTAAACTCTTGCTGTATAATAAGCCCTGGGGTCTAACGACCCTGCACGTATGTTACACAGTGCCTCCACAGCTCTGAGGAAGGTCCTGCTATTATCCCCACTTTATATGTGGGAAAATGAAACCCAGAAAGATGAGTGCCTTACCCAAGGTTGCTCAACTAAGTGGCTAACCTAGGATTTGAACCTACATCTTTTGATCCCGTATCCCAACTGATAGGTCTTCTGAGACCTTTGAGTGGGGTGAGAAGAGAGGCTACACCTGGGCAGACAGGATAGAGTAGGCTGGGAAGGCTACAGCCCACCCACCCCAGGGCTGACACCCACCCTCATTCTCCAGCTTCCTTTTCTCCAACTCGGCCTCGATCTGGTCCAGCACCATGGCCAGCTCCCCAAGGATCTTCTTCAGGTAGCTCACATCATCGTGCTCCAGGATCTTGGCCTGAAGCAGGACAGGCAGGGGTCAGAGGTTGAGTTGGCCTCATTGGAGTCAGGAAGGAAACTTTGCCTAAACTCCTTTATGCAAACTTAGGCTCCAAATAACAAGTGCCTTCATCTGGTGCTTATGCCTGTCTGCTGAGCTTGGCCGTTCTGCTGAGATCTATGCCACTGGGCTGACACATTTATACCTTTAACTGCTGGTAGCACCCTTGCTAGGGGCCCACAGCTGCACAGGCAGTCTTCAGCCAATGCCAGCCAATGTGCGGGTATTAGGGCGGACCCACTGTGTGGTGCCTTTTATGCTCCAGAACTTTCCGTGAGGCTGATAAGGCTTGGCTGCTTCCTCTTCCCCTGTCCCTGTCTTTACTGGGCTCCTCAGAGCATTCTCTTGATACCTTCTTATGCAAGAACCTGTGTCTAATGCTGTCTGCTGAGACACAGACTAAGACATGAGGCTCCAAGGTGACAGTGGCTTTCCCAAGGACAAAGTGACAGTAAATGGCAGAGGAGGCCGAATGGACAAATCAAGCCCACGGTTTTCCACCTCAAACCTTCAGCTGATTCTCAACTTCCTGCCAGTTTCCCCTATTTCCCTTTCTGTGGACTAGAGGGTGAGGAAAGAGACCAGCAGGTGGGGACACTCACCATGAGCTTCTTCTGCTTAGAAAGGTAGGGCTCAGAGAGCTGTGGTTCCTCTTCATGGTCCAGTTTCATGAGGTCTGTGGTGGCATTGGCTAAATGTCCTGGGCAGAGAATAGGAAAGATTCCATCCCTGCTACCCGGTGCCTCTGTGTCCCCTCCCCCACACAGCTGCCAGTCAGTCCATCTAAACTCAGGGCACGGAAGTGACAGTGTCCACAGCCGACATTCAGCGAGCACCATAAGCTGTAACATGGGACAGAAGACAGGCTGCCTGCCTGAGGCTTGGACTAGCGGGAGAGACAGACCCATGACGACGTCCTATGATGCTGACGATCGTCGGTGATGAAGAACGCCAAGTGGTGGGACCCGGAGAGCTGCTGTCTGGAGCACAGTGGGCAAGAGGAGGAGCCTCTGTCCTTGCAGGTGTATGGGAGATGCCAGAAGCAGATGGAATTGGAATCCAGGATCTCATCTTCCCGGCGCCCCTCCCCTCCCCGTGTGCCAGCCCCCTCCGCCCACAAAACGAAGCCAGGCCCGGGATCGTCCTTAGCTCCTCCTCGCCTCAGCTTAGCCCCAGGTCCCCAGCACTTGCCCTGCTCATATTTCTCATCCCTCCGCTCGCTTCACCTTCCCCATCCAAGCCTGTGGTCCTCACTTAGTGCAGACCCCCACTCACCCCTTTCCTCACACCTCTGTGGAGACACCTTCCTCACACACCCCGAGCCTGCCCCTCAAAGTGGGAAGCTTACCTCTATCGCCCCTGCCTTCAGACAGTGTCCCAGCTCTACATGTGCCCCCAAGGGGCCTGCGGGTTACGTCTGTTTCCCCTCTCACTGGCTCATGAGTTCAGCAGTGATCCCTGCCCTCCAATGGGCCACTTCAGTCATCCCAAATGCTTCCTGCTCTCTGAGTGTGCCAGACTATTCCAGACCTCCAGACCTTTGCTCCTTCTACTTCTTCCTCCAGGACAGCCATATCTTCTATTCCCAAAATCCTCCTTCTAAGTTCAGCTGATGACCACCTCCTCCACAGAACCTGGCCCTTGAGGGGATCAGACCTTCAATGCCTTTGTTCCCAGTGTACACTCTACAAACTCCTGCCAAAGAATGCACACACACACACACACACACACACACTCACACACTAGCTACAGCTGCCATGGCACAACTCCACTCATCTGTGGTCTATGAAAAATTAAGTTCCCCTGCACCTGTGCAGTGCACTACCTGTACTCCTGCTGAACAGGGAAACTGATGCTAGCATAGTTATCTCTGGATGGGTATTCCTCCCACTAGCATGCAAGCTTTTGCAGAGTAGGGCTCTGTCAGATTCTCCTGGTTTCTCTTTAAAGGCCAGTGCAGTCCTGGCACCGAGTAGGAGTGCAGTGAGTACTGAGGGAGGGAATGGCACGAGTGAGGGAGTGGGATGCTGTGGTCATTTAGTTTCTGCCCCCTGAGGTTCACCACCCACCAGCCCATCCTTGGCCTGGTAAATAACTCCCGGCACTCCCAGCTCTGGGGCTAAATTAAGTGTCACTGATGTTTTATAAATGTGAAGGTCAAGTATAACATCTTCCCTCTTGCCTGTCCCCTGGGGATGCCCACATGGCAGCTCTCTGTAGACTTCAGGAGGGAAGACCTTGGACCAACTGAAGCAGGGGTCACTGCCTTGGTTTCTGCCCCCTTTGTACCCTGTAAAGTCTCTCCTTCCCATCTGGGCTGGAGTCCTGAGACTGTGTTTCCTCAAAGGAGGGAGTTGGGCTTGCTTTGGACCCCTCTCTCTTCCGAGACCCTTCAGATGGCTCAGGACAGGCCAAGGGGAGTGCCCAGCCCAGAAGTGCTTGAGACTGCTCCCCGCAGGCCAGGCCACCATCACTGCCCACTGGAGTACAGCTGGGGCCTCGCAGCAGCTCGGTCCACTCTTTTCTCAGGGGCATGGTCTTTGTAAAATGCAGATCTGCACCTGTCACTGCCCAGCACACTTTCCTCACTGTTCTTTGGATGAAATCCCTCTCCTGCCATATCTGCTACCCATCTCACATACATGCTCTGCCACCCCTTTAGCTGTGCAGCTACCACAGTCGTGTCCTTCAGCTCTCCAGTCCAGAACATGGTTCCCCCTCATTCTTGGATGTCACTATGACCCCAGAGGCTGGGATGGGCACATTCAATGAGCCATAGCCTCCATGCTGCCCTGATCACACTGGTTGGATTAGATGAAAAAATTGTTTCGTTTTTTTGAGACATGGTCTCACCATGTAGTTCAGGCTGGCTTTGAACTCACTATGCCTCAAACTTATAGCAATCCTCCTGCCACAGCTTCCTTAGTGCTGAGTTCACTGTGGGAGGTCCCTAGGTACTCAGGACAGCAAAAGCCTCTGGAGAACCAACAGCCTAGCAGCCTCTATAGGGTGACAAGACAAGAGCAGCATCTCAGGGTGGGGGAAGAGAGAGAGGGACTGCCGGAGAGGGAGGGAGGCGTGTTCAGTGAGCAACAGGATTTACAAGATGGATGGGAAAGGAGAGAAAGACGGAGGGAGACAAGAAGATGAAGAGGAGAAAGAGGAAGAGGAAGGAGAAGGAGGAGGAGAGGACAAGGAGACCAGGCGTGGGAGGACAGAGTGCAGAAGGGAGGACTCCTGTCCACAGAGCACCCCTGGCACTCACTGCGGATCTCAGCCGTGGCGTACTTGGGGATCATGGAGTCGGTGGTGAGCTCGGGGTGCAGGATGCAGCCGTGTGTGTAGGCGTCCATGGGCAGTGCATCCAGCAGCTCCCGGTACTGCAGCACCCGCGCGTGCTGTGGGCTGCCCACCTCGGGCATCAGGGCCACCACATGCTCTGTAAAGAACCAACGCTAGCACCCAGAGCCCCAAAGTGTCACGCCCAGGGGTCCCAGGCCCACCCGCTTCTTGAGACTCTGCCACTGGTGAGTGGGGACCTGTGTGGCCCAGTGGCTGCCTCTCCTCTCTGGGTTGTGTCCACCTGTCCCCCAGGGCCGGCTGGGCTCAGCTCAGACTATGGCCAAGTAGGGTCTGTGACCGGTGTCACCTAATCTCAAGAGACCGGAAGCCTAGAGTTGAAACAATACCTAAGTCTGTTTGATTTGAAATCATTGATAGATTATTCATATTCCTTTTATAAAAAGTCTTTTCCTTTGCAGTGCTTGGAGAGTGGATGAGCACCCCCAACCCCACCCCTGGCCTTCTTTCACACTGTATTTACCAACAGACCTCTCTCAGCGGCTGCCAACCAAGGAGAAGGTGAGGCCAGCGGGTCCTGCAAGTTCAGGGTCCTGTTTGTGTCCGTGGTTCTGAGGTGTCTGGGACCATATCTATGGGGTCCCAGGAGGAGTCTGACCCTGACTGTGCTTCAGGGTTTCAGGGGTGTGAGCCGTGCTTGAGCCCTGAACTCCCTGGGAGAGCTGGATGCTGCCTGTGGGGCCCCAAATGACTCCTGAGGGTCTGTGGTTGTGCTTGGGACTTCGGGAGTCCTGAGGAAGGGGCCAGAGCACCTGAGCTCCGGGGAGGAGGTCGCCGGGCTGGGATGTGGCTGTGCCCGTGGCTCTGTGGTTCCTGAGCAGGGAGCCCTGCCTGTGGTGGTTGTTTCTGGGGAGACTGGGCCATGGATGTCAGGCTTGCCAAGGTTCCGGGGCCCCGCCCGACCCGTGCCGCGTGGCGGGAGCGCCCACACCTCCCGTGAAGGTGCGTTCCACGTAGTCGATGATCTGGTCGTAGTCGCTGATGATGTTGTCACGGTGGATGATGACCGGCACCTCCTCGCCCAGGTTGAGCCTCATGAACCAGGGTTCCTTGTGCTCGCTCTGCTGCAGACTCACGTCCCGCTCCTCGCACGCCAGGCCCTTCTCAGCGATCACCAGCCGCACCTGCAGGCGCCAGGATCAGAGGGGAAGGCGGGCGGACACAGGAGACACTCTGCCCGGGGTGGGGGGGGGCGTGCGGGGAGGGGGTCAGAGGTCACACACAGGGGACACAGCTGCGCCAGACCTTTCTCGGGCACCCTGTAGGGGGAGCAGGTCCCAGGGTATGGACTCGGTGGTGGGAGGAACTCAGACCTGCGCTGCAACAAGGAATGGTGCTTCCTGGTGGGCAGAGGCCGGCTTTACCGCTGGACACTCCTGGGATGGGATTTCTGGCCCTGTGAGTGTATTTGTTTATTTATTTTTAAATTTTTAATTTTTTCCGGTACTAGGAATAGAACGCAGGACCTCTCACTTGCCGGCATGGCACCACTGATCCCGGTCCCATGAATGTGAGCAACTTTCTGAACCTTATTCAATTCATGATGATTGTTATTGGGATAGGACACTCAGCCTGGCCTCCACGGGTGGAGAGAGCCAGGAAAATTCACAGAAATTCTAATCACCGTCAGACTCAACAGCTACATTTCTCATATTACGCGGGAAGCAGAGTAAGGTGAAAACTTGGCAGCATTAGTTGAGCCCATTATGTCCTCCAAACGCCTTCCCACCTGATTGCTCCACCGCACCCCCCAGGGGGCAGAACAGGAAATAGATCCCGAAGTTTTTGTTGTTGTTTTTTGTTTTTTGAGACAGAGTCTCATTATGTAGTTGAGACTGAACTGGAATTCACTATGTAGCCCAGGTTGGTCTCAAATTCACAGCGATCCTCCTGCCTCAGCCTCCTGAGTGCTGGGATTACAGGCGTGTGCCAGATCCCTATTTTTCTTGATGAGAAAACTAAAGCCCAGAGAAGGCAAGTGATTTACCCAAAGTCACTTAGCAGTTTGGCAGCAAACTTACAATTGGAAGCAATAGTTCCCAACTCCCAGGCCAGTCCTATATGGAGTCTTTGCCTTGCCCTCCCTGAGCAGCTCCTTGCATCTCTAGGGAGTCCCGGACAAACACTTTAACTGGTAGAAGCTAACAGCCTCAAGGCTGGGCCTGCACAGCCCTGGAAATGGTTAGTCACCTGGTCCAAGCACCCTCAGAAGGAAGACTGGCAAGGGGAGGTCGCAGGACTCTGTTCCTCCCCTGCCCTCCTCGCCTTCTGGCTCCAGGCCCAGGGAGGGGCCAGCCTGGCAGACACAGAGGCTGTTCTCCTTGTGCCTCTCTATCTCCTCATCTGAGAGGGGGTCCTAGGGCCAGGCATTCCCTCCTCCTCCAGACACCAGGAGTTAAATACCCAGAAGCAGCAGCGTGGTGCCGGGGCAGAACTTTGGACTGTGTCAGCTCAAGCTGCAGCTCCGCCTCCTCCTTGCAGGATGGCTTGGCTTTGTGAGTTGCTTTACTTCTGTACGCCTCTTGCTATGGGACACCCCACGGCTGCTCCCTCGGAGGGCAGTGTGAGGATTAGCGTGTTTCCCTTTGAGGGATGGTGTCCGGCACACAGTAGGATAATGTGCCCTAGCTGTTTATATTAGACTAAGGTTTTGGAGGCACACAGACGTGAAGGGGAAAGCTGGCTCTACTGTGTAATCGCTGTGTGACCCTGGACGTCACTTGATCTCTCTAATTTCTGGTTTCTGTGAAGTAAGAAATGTGTCTTCCTCAAGGCCGGTGTGAGCCTGCAATAGAGATGTGAATGGAGTCCCAGCACAGGAGGCTAGTGTGCAGGTCCTGACATCTCGCGTCACTGTTCTCTCTCACTCTCTCTCTCTCTCT